ATAATTACCTCATTAAATACTGTAGTATTTTAAAATTTAACTTAACTACAGTGTTATTACTATAATTCATTCAAAGTTAATGTTCATTCACCTTTCACAAACTTCACCCTAGTAATTAGTATATGGAATGAATCTGTTATGTTTGGTGAAATGCTGAGTCTTTATTTTTTCTTTGTCAATCCCAAAACCTTTCCTTGGCAGATTCCAGTTGAAAGATTATGATAATGTCTGAAACGGCTTAGTTTATGAAGGTGATTACAAATAAACATTTTTTTGGTAGCTTCTGCAGAAGAATCCAATTTAAATAAATGTGGATCACTTAAACATGTATTGAAAAATACATGAACTCATTCAACTGCAAGTCTGATTTTTAATTAGAGAAGAAACTTGTTAAGATAGGAAATTTGAGTTTTTTAAGTATGTACAATTAGCACTATTATTTAATTGTCCTGGTAGAATTGCCTAACATAATTAAAAAGAAACAAAAGTACATATATAGGAAAGTAAAAAAGCAAAATTATCATTATAAGTACACTGTTTACCTGGAAAGCCCATGGAATTCAAATGGAAAGACTATTGTACATAAAACTGTTATAAACAACAGAAAAACTAAAAAATAGGAAAATTCAGTTACATGGCAGTTATAATATTACTATATAGTTGTAACCAGTGTGAAAAATAGGAAAGGATAAAAGTTCACATTCATAATAGCAGCAAGTCATAAATAATCCACTGGAGTAAACTTAAGAAGCCTGTACTAGATATATATGAATAAAGCTTTAAAATTCTACTGAGAGATAGGAAATACAGTCTAGGTGAATGGAAAGATGTAAAACTCTTCTTGGTTGGGAAGATTTAATATGGAAAAATGTCAGTTCTTCCTAAGTTAATTTTTATGCAATCTCAATAAAAAATTAAAAACTAATTCTAAAATATATAGGAAAATATATATTGAAGAGAGACTTAGGTCAATAAAATGTAAAGTTATAATAAAGCTCCAGTTGTTGAAGCAGGTATTAATAGTGATTTCATAGAGTAATAGAACAATATAGACTCCAAAACAGACTCCAAAGTACTTGGAAATATTTAGTGGTAAAGGTTGTATTTAAATAATTAAAGAAAAGTTGTATTGTTTAACACATGGTAGCTACTTTGGAAAAAAATGATGTGGAAGCTGTACTTTTTACCTCACATCCAATTAGTTCTGGAAGGATGAAAGATTTAAATGAATACAAAAGAAAGTACAAATATACTAAAAATAAACTATAAACAGGAGATACTATTTATAATAGATACTAAAGGACTTCTTCTTTGATATATAAAAATATCATGAATCCGTAAGAAAAAGGCCAATACAAATATTAACACAGAAAAAATATAAATGATTTTTTGAAATAGGAAAAAGTGATAATTTCTGGGGACATAATGTACAACACGGTGGCTATAGTTAACAATATTGTAATATGTACCAGAGAGTTGCTAAAAGTAGGTCTTAAGTGTTCTCACCACACACACATAGAAGTTATCATACAAGTTGGGGGAGGTGTTACCTAACCCTATTGTGGTAATCCTCTTCCAGTATATAAGTATATTAAATTATGCCATCCTTCTTAAATTTCTACAATGTTATATGTTAATTATATCTCAGTGAAGCTGGAGAAATAGGAAAAACTGCTATAATTACTGAATTTAAGAAGTGAAAATGATAATAACAAGGAAATACTACTTTTCCCTTAAAAATATTGACAGAGATCTAAGAGTTTGGTAATAGAAGTGTTCGCCAGGATATGAGGAAACATCGTTTCTGGTCACATTGTAAAGTTGTGATCACCTCATTCAAGAATTATATCACAATCATTTCCAACATTTAAAATATATATACGTTAAATGTGGCAGTTTAACATCCAGGAATTTATCCTTCAATACACTGTCATATAGGCAAAATGACAATGTACAAGAATTTTTATTGCAACATTGTTCTAAATTATATAACATTAGAAACACCTAAATGTCCATCACTAGGGCATTTGTCAAATAAATATGTGCTATATACTTTGTGAATTTACATTTATCTGTTTTCTCACCCCCTAGGTTATCTCATCCAACCTTGTGGCTTTAAACCATGTGTTTAAAACAGTTCCTAAGTTTTATATGCAGCGCAGTTCTCTCCTGAATTCCCTTACCAAACTGCTCCTTGGTGTCTCCACTTGGACGTCAGAATAAACATCTCATGCTCAACATACCCAAATTCTTAATTTTTCTCTCAAATCTCACTCCCTGACAACTTTCCCATCTCAGTAGATAGCAGATTCCATCCTACCACTTGCCGAGTCCCAAAGCTTTTGAGTCACCTTCTCTTTCTCTCACAGCCAATTTTCAGTTGGTCAGAAAATTGTTTTGCTCTACCTTCAAATTGTATCTGTTGTAGAATCCTGCCAGTTTTTACATCAGTGGATGCTACTACCCTGCTCTATACCACCATCATTTCTTGCCTGGATTATTGCAATAGCCAATTGTCCTACATTTATACTTGCCTCTGCATAGCCCCATCTCATGAAAACAACCAGAATAATTGTTTTAAAACATTAAATCAAGTCAAATGGTATTCTGCTTAGAACTCTGCAGTGACTCCCATTTCACTCAGAGCAAAAGCCGAAGTCCCTGCAATGGCCTGAAAGGACCTCCAACATCTGGCACCTGCTACTTTCTGACATCATCCCCTGTTACTCTCCCTCTTCCTCATTCAACCTCAGCCACCTTGACTTCTTCGATACTTATTGAATACACATATATTTTCCTATGTAAAGAATTTTTCTTTGCCTGGAATGCTCTTTCTTTGGATATCCACATGACTAACTCCATGATCTCATTCAGGTCTTTGCTCAAATGTCACCTTTTCAATGAGATTGACTCTGACCACTTTATTGCCTTACATTTTCTTTATTACACAGTATTTTATAACCTCTTATAACATGCTGCAGCCTTTACTTATTCATCATGCCTATTGTAGAGTATCTGTTTCATTGGCTAGAATGTAAACTTTGTTTTAAGTGACAGATTCTGAGTGTCTAGAATATGTTCAATCAGTAAATGAATAAAACAATCTGTGAGACAAATAAAAAACTCAGTATATATAAATGTAGCATCCTTTAAAATATATATATATATATAGGTGATGTAAATGCTTATAGAGGCATACAGTATTGCTGGAAGACCAAGAGACACTGGAAATAATGGGTGCTTTGTATACTTTTAGAATATGCACCTGTCACTTCTTTGATTAAAAACTGAACTCATAGAAAAATGCAGTGCATAACTGAGGCTAATTCTGGAATTCAAAATTCTTTATGAGCCTTATCTTTGTTTCTAATAAGATATTTGATTGTATCACCACTAGGTGGCACATACCTCCTGGTAAATTCTTGAGACAGACACAGGATGCCCGAACTCACCAAAGTTCACTTTATCTATATATTGCATTGATTTTCCTTGAGAAATTTTCTTAACTTCAGTTCTTTAGTGCAATATCAGCTTTTTGGTGGTTTTTCACTATTTATAATTTCTTACTTAGCATTATTATACCATTGAGTTGCAGAAATGTCTTAAAACTGCAAATACTAGCTAAGATATCCTTAATTTAGTGTAAATTTTCAAATTTTATTGAATTAACTTTTTCATATGAAATAATGAAATTTAAAGATTTTTTTGTATGAAATTAGATTTTTGTTTGATTAAATTGCTTTGCTGCTTTTATACCAAATGACTCAATGTCCAGGACCACCTGCAATTTAACAGCCAATTTCTGAATGTTTATATGATACGCAGAGAGATTAGGCAAATGGCTACTGTGGAGGGTACAAAGGTAAAATATTATTTATTGCCTCTGTCTTCAAGGATTTTTCATTTTATGGATGGAGACAGCCATGAATGCAAATTAACTATAATACAAATCAGAATGTAGTAAACAAGTAAATGAAAATATTAAAGGTAATGAGAACCTGATAGTTAATATTAATTTGAGAACTCCAAGAATAACGTGAAATTTGAGAAGAGCCCAGATAATTTTTATAGTTATTTTTAACTTAGAGATTCTTTGATTGTTTTTCTTTTTGAAATACATTTTTTGAAAAACTAAATAAGCATGGAAATAAATAATAAACTGACAGTAACCAGAGGGGAGGGAGAGGGGGATAACAGGGGAAAGAGGGGGAAGAGTCAACTCAAGGAACATGTATGAAGGACCCACGGGCAAAGACAATGGGGGTGGGGGGCAGGATGGTAGGATTGAATGCTGGAGGTGAGTGGGTAGGGCAGGGGAAAGTAATGGGGGGAAGTGGGGACAACTGTAATTGAACAACAATAGAAACTAAAACATTTGGAGAAAAGCACTGCATTCAAGTAGAATAACATTTACTAAGTGCTTCCTACTCTGGCAAACTCTAATCTATTATTTTATTTAATATTCATAAGACTTTTGATGTATGTACAGCTATTCACATATTACAGATGAAGAAATTGAGGTACAGAAAGTTTAAGGGACTTATATGAATATGTCGACTCTGTGCCATAACACCAAAACTAGATATGAATCGAATTAATTTTCTTACAATAAGAAACTTAGCTTTACAATTTTTACCACTTCGGTATCATTGCTATGTTACTTAAAAGGAAATCAATATTATTCTAAAAAAATGTATTAATATTGACTACTTTGTTACATTGGTAGTATTAATTTTTATAACTTTCTAAGTGTGATGTGAATCATATGAAAATACTATCTTAGTGAATCAAGAATCTAACCCTTTTGGCTATTAACATGCAAAATCTCTACAACTTCATTATATTCTAAAATAATACTATGATGATCAGATATCAAAGTCTAAGTAATAGATTGTACAATGCTTAGATGAGATTAAGTTCCAGCTCAACAACTAAATCAAGTAGATATTAAAACAAGATTATATGTTTGCCATGAATCTTATTTTTCTGTGTTTCTTTAGCCAGGAGAATGTACAAATAGGAAGAAGAAGTGGTATGAAAGTGCACTACAAGAAGCACACCATCTTTATGGATGTTCTCCTGAGCACAGACTGCACATGTGCTACCTATCAAAACAGGGTACATGATTTTTAACTTTATGCCCTGCCCCTGAATAAGGATTATGCCCCTGAATCCTGAATAAGGATTTAGCCAGATGCGTGCTTTCTGAAGTATGTATGCACATTTAAAATTTTTTTCTTTATGTCTTTGTCCACTGAAAAATTATTTTTGTGTGCATTAGTAGTATATATTTTACTGTCTGAAACTATTTTTTTAAAGATTTTTTTAATTTATCTTTAGAGGGGAAGGGAAGGAGAGGGAGAGAAATATCAATGTGTGGTTGCCTCTCATGGGTCCCCTGCTGGGAACTGGCCTGCAACCCAGGCATCTGCCCTGACTGGGAATCAAACCCCGATCCTTTGGTTCTCAGCCCTGTGCTCAATCCACTGAGCTACACCAGCCAGGGCTGAAACTATTTTTTTAATGACTACACATACACCCTATTTAAATGCAGTGGTTTTAATTAGCATGTCAGTCATCTTCCTTGCTCTTAGATTATCTTCATAGGTCCTTTTGTGTATTTCAAAGCATATATTTCAAAATTAGAAACCATGGCTTTAAAATATACTTCTGGGATAAAGCTTTCATTGGATATGCTGTATTATTTCAGAACAAAGTATTTTTCAAAATGTTTTATTTTTAAATAAATCATGGCAGAGATAAAAAGGTCATCTTCAATTTTCTTTTTAATTAGGTAAAAAATATGATGATAATATTTCAGGTCATTTTCTTTTTTTTAATATATATATATTTTTATTTAGTTATTTTTCAAGTACAGTTTTTTGTCTATTTCTCCCATCCCAGCCCCCCTCTGTCCCGTGCTCCCCACTTCTCTCCCATCTCCACCCCCCCTAGCTCTCATCCCTGCGTCCTTCACATTTGTTCCTCCAAATCCCTCCCCCCTTATATTCCCTCCCCTCTCCCTTCTGGTCACTGTCCCCTTGTTCTCTATTTCAGTGTCTTTGTTTTTATTCTGATTGCATGTTCGTTTTGTTGTTTAGCTTCCTGTTAAAGGTGAGATCATATGGTATTTGTCTTTTAACACCTGGCCTGTTTCACTCAGCATAATGCTTTCCAGTTCCATCCATGTTGTTGCAAAGGGTAGTAGCTCCTTCTTTCTCTCTGCTGCATAGAATTCCATTGTGTATATGTACTACAATTTTTGATCCATTCATTTACTGTCGGGCACCTAGGTTGCTTCCAACTCTTGGCTATTATAAATTGTGCTGCTATGAACATTGTGGTGCATAGGTTCTTTGAAATTGATGTTTTAGGATTCTTAGGATATAATCCTAGCAGTGGAATTGCTGGGTCAAAAGGCAGGTCGATTTTTATTTTTCTGAGAAAATTCCATACTGTTTTCCATAATGGTTGTACCAGTCTGCAATCCCACCAACTAAGGACCCCTTAGTTGGTGAACTAAGGACCCCTTTTCCCCACAACCTCTCCAACATTTGTTGTTTGTTGCTTTATTTATGATAGCCATCCTAACTGGTGTAAAGTGGTATCTCATTGTGGTTTTAATTTGCATCTCTCTGATAGCTAATGATATTGAGCATCTCTTCATGTGTCTCTGGATATTCTGTATGTCCTCCTTGGAGAAGTGTCTGTTCAAGTCCTTTTCCCATTTTTTAATTGGGTTAGAGGAATTAACATCATCAAAATGTCCATACTACCCAAAGCAATATACAGATTCAATGCAATGCCTATTAAAGTACCAATGGCATATTTCACAGACATAGAACAAATACTTCAAAAATTTATATGGAACCATAAATGAGCCTGAATAGCAGCTGCACTTTTGAGAAAGAAGAATAAAGTAGGAGGGATCACAATACCTGATATCAAACTGTATTACAAGGCCACTGTAATCAAAACAGCCTGGTACTGGCATAAAAACAGGCACATAGACCAATGGAACAGAACAGAGAGCCCAGAAATAAACCCAATTCTCTACAGTCAATTAATATTTGACAAAGGGGGCAATAACATTAAATGGAGTAAAGATAGCCTCTTCAACAAATGGTGTTGGGAGAACTGGACAGCTACGTGCAAAAAAATGAAACTTGAGCACAAACTTACACCATACACCAAAATAAATTCAAGGTGGATAAAAGACTTAAATATAAGCCATGACACTATTAAAGTTCTAGAGGAAAACATCGGCAAGAAAATCTCAGATATTTCACACAGCAACATTTTTACGGATATGTCCCCTATAGCAAGGAATATAAAGGAAAGAATAAACAAATGGGATCTCATCAAAATAAAAAGCTTCTGCATGGCTAAAGAAAATAGTATTAAATTAAAAAGATAACCAACTGTATGGGAAAATATATTTGCCAATGATACCTCAGACAAAGGTTTAATCTCAGTTCATTTTCAAATTTTTCTTGAATCATAAATATGGTTTGTAGATGGTTTTTTAAATGAATTCATCATAAGGATTATAGTAGATATAACATTTTTAATTCTAAATATTATTACATGAAAGTGTTGACTTTCAATAAACAAGTATGATTTTAATTGTTTCTGCTTAGTAACCATGTTTAATTTTAAGTTGTTGTTTAATTACGGTTGTCCCCGTTTTGCCCCTATTACTCTCCCCTGTCCTACCTACCCCCCACCTCCCACATTGAATCCTCCACCCCTATCGGCTTTGTCCATGGGTCCTTAATACATGTTCCTTGATGACCCTTCCTCTTCTTTCCCATTATCCCCTTCCCCTTCTCCTCTGGTTACTGTCAGTTTGTTCTTTATTTTCATGTCTCTGGTTCTATTTTGCTCACTTGTTTGTTTTGTTGATTAGATTCCACTTACAGGTGAGATCATATGGTATTTGTCTTTCACTTCCTGGCTTATTTCACTTAGCATAATGGTCTCCAGATCCATCCAAGCTGTTGCAAATGGTAGGAGTTCCTTTTTTCTGCAGCATAGTATTTAATTGTGTAAATGTACCACAGTTTTTTGATCTACTCGTTTACCGATGAACACTTAAGTTGCTCCCAACACTTGGCTATTGTAAATTGTGCTGCTATGACCATTGGGATGCATAAGTTCTTTTGAATTAGTGTTTCAGGATTCTTAGGGTATAATCCCAGCAGTGGAATTTCCAGGTCAAAAGGCATTTCCATTTTTAATTTTTTGAGGAAGTTCTATACTGTTTTCTACAGTGTCTGCACCAGGCTGCATTTCTACCAACAGTGTACTAGGATTCCCTTTTCTCCACAACCTCTCCAACACTTGCTGTTTGTTGATTTGTTTGTGGTTGCCATTCTGACCAGTGTGAAGTGGTATATTTTTGTGGTTTTAATTTGCATCTCTCTGATGGCTAGTGATGCTGAGCATCCTTTCATATGTCTCTGAACCCTCTGTATGTCCTCCTTGGAAAAGTGTCTGTTTAGGTCCTTTGCTTGTTTTTTAATTGGATTGTTTGTCCTCCTGGTGTGGACTTGTGTGAGATCTTTATATATTTTGGACATCAAACCCTTGTCTGAGGTATGATTGGCAAATATATTTTTTCATGTGGTTGGGTCCCTTTTCATTTTGCTGATGTTTTCTGTATCCATGCAGAAGCTTTTTAATTTGATGAAATCCCATTTGTTTATTCTTTCCTTTATGCCCCTTGCTCTAGGGGAGGACATATTGGTGAAAATATTGCTGCATGGAATATGCAGAATTTTCCTGTCTATGTTCTCCTCTAGTACTTTTATAGTGTTGAGACTTATATTTAAGTATTTTATCCATCTTGAGTTTATCTGTCTTATGAGGCCCAGCCTTTTCGCTTTATCACAGTAATATTTTTTTCTCCTTTAGAAAAGTTTAATATATATACTTTAAAACTTATATATATAAGCATTTTATTTGAGAAAAATTTAAATATTAACACAGCCACCTAACTTAAGATTTTAAAGCAAATCTATAGGTTAGAAAAGAGTAGAAAAAGAATGACAAACACACTACTCTGGCTTAGTCTGAGACCAGGGAAAGAGACATTTATTATCATAAATGTGATTTTATTTCTTGTGTTGAAAATGCAATGTCTCTGTTGTTAGCAATAAAGGTTGAATTCACTCTGTTGTCACAAATAAAATTTTATGCTTTGCACGTAAGCAATATAACATTTGAAATATTTAGTTTTTTAAAACATTAATAACTTGAAGTAATATAGTCATTTATTTAAAATATTATACTGTAGCCATTTCATACCAGCAATAGACCCACTCTCAGTAAGTTATGGAACTTTGCCTTTGCCACTTTCCTATGTTCCAGGTTATTTGCATCTGGGTCCCTGGGCCTTCGGCTTATCCCGAGATCCTAGAGATGCCTTATTTTTCATCAGGTCTGAAGCAACAGATCATTTTCTCTCTGGAAGTCTGATGATTTTTGCATATAGAATTTTAGGGAAGTGAGTTGGAATATTGAGAGCCTTTGCCTAAACACTTTCGTTTTCTCCGAAGTAGGTAAAATGGAGGGGCATGAACAGATTACTAGGAGTTCATTCAGTCCTTGCCATAGCTCTCGCTCACTTTCTATTCACTCTTCCCTGGCTCCAAAGTAGACAGTTTAATCCTTGTGCCTGCTTAGCTTTCAGGGTGAATTCTAGAGTGCATTTAGCTTTTCACTGGGTTTAAAAGTAGTTTTGAGAGAAAATCAGCTGCTATTTAGATATTTTACAAAAGATGAGTAACTTAGAAGCAAACCATTTATTTCATCCTAGCAACTTTGAGGATTTCTTCACCCCAAAATTTCTTCTTCCATCCTTGAAATAATTACTACTGATTTTTTGGGCCTCAATTCTTCCTGCCCTGCAGAAATTGGCACACTATTACGTTTGATGCAAGCCTTTCTTTGTCAAAATCTTCAGAATCAGTAAATGATATGTAATTATAGACCCAGTTGGACTATGGCAAATTCAAAGTCCTGTCCTCGTGATTGGGTTGTCCTGTATTTGTTGTGTTAACTATCACTCCAAATGAGTGATTCTTCTGCTGGAGCTATGAAGCTTTTTCTTATAT